CAAGATTTTGTAAGAACGTGTAAATTACAATTCCATAACAACCGTACCTGCTGAAGCATTAGTAATAAAAAAGCTTATTAGCCAAAGCAATATATACTGATTTGTTTTTATCAATACTTTGCAGGTTATCTAAAGCCAGAATATATTTTTAGATTGTAAGAATTTTTGGGGCGATAATAGTGATTTAATTATACAAGTCTTACTAATTAAGTCGTGGGGAGTGGCGAAGAAGTGGGATCATAACTTTCTCAACAGTATTTGCTCGTAAGTGAATATAACGAAGCCACTTGTAATTGGAACTCGACACTTCGATAAACAATTCTGAGCCATTATCTATTACCTCAGCCACATTTCCAAGCATATAACACCTGATATTCTCAAGTGGTCACCCATCTAGGTTGCTTAACTTGAGTGATCGCACGAGAATCGGTGTTTCAACGTGATATGGCCGTAGTTCGTGGTTAACAGCCTGGGGGTTGAATATGTTGTACTTATTTCTTATTGGGCTTGGTTCTAAAGAAAAGATTTCAGAATCGGTTGGAACGGTTCAAATCCCAGTAGAATGTGAGTCAGAGTCTCGGCTATGGTTTCATTCATGGCTGAGATAACTGCAAAATTCTTACCGAGATCAGAATTAATTTACATGCCGAGGTAGTAGTTTAGATTTTGCATCTTGATTTTCTCAACATCTGTCCTCCTATTTACATTATTCGGACTATTGTCCTCATCTTTGTCGCCATGTTTAGTAGAACGTTTCGGCCGTTGTACGCTCCGTCCTTCTTCAGGTGGTTGGAATGTCGAACTGAACCATTTATTTCGCTCACTGGGGTAGACTGTTCTAGTTCCACGTGCCATGTCTAATGGATGCCAGTTATCTCCTGTTAATTCCCCTCTCCAAGTTCTCCACCTCCTTAACTAGGTATTGAATTCACACGCTTTGGGTCCTGTCACTGGATCTAACTAATGCATTATCCACTGTGCCATGTGACCTCAAGTCTAGAGACAGCAATCTAACTTGTTAATTAACCCATAGCTGGCGGGGAAAACGAATGCATCTCTTTCCAGACGGATTTTGTAAGAACGTGTAAATTACAATTCCATAACAACCGTACCTGCTGAAGCATTAGTAACAAAAAAGCCTATTAGCCATTACACACATTGTCAACCTTGACTGATCAATAAAAGCAATGAAGAGGATAGAAAATCTTGAGAATAGTTGTTATTGATACAAGGACGATCGCAAAGAACTTAGAGAAAAAAAAAATTGAGTTAATAGGTTTTCCAAGGAAGAAATGAGAAAACTCAGGTTACAACTCCTAAGAATGGTATGAATATTGACAAGTGCTGTGTAGATTGAAGATGACATTGTGACATTTAAGTCTGTATCGTTGGCAACAAGATACCACTCAAATAAAAATGCAGAGAATAATATTGTCTTCATTGCGGAGATAATTAGCCCAAAGGGAATATAAAACATAATGGACAGAGGAGGAATTGCCACACACACTGAACTGTGCAAACGAATTGGGTTCGACCAAATCACTCAAAATAAAGGCTGTGTTGTAGAAAATGAAGAATAAATTTTAAAATCCAAACCGATCACTCCATTCCATCTTGAAATAGAAATTAAATAAAATTGAATAGAACTATTCGGGGGAAAAGCCTGTCGGAAAGTAGCCATTCCCACATTAAGAGAATATAAACTGAAAATAAAAGAAACTTCAAAATAAATAAATAAATAGAATAAAATTAAAATTAATGGACCACACCCGAAAACGAAAGCAGTTGGGAAACATGAGGTTTAGACTCATGCCCAGCAAGCGTCCTTAAAACATGAGCGGCGATATTAGAAGAATGGGTGATTCGAAGAACGATTGAGATTGTCATGACCACAACAATATTGTAGTCTTCAAGAATCTTAATGTAGATGCCCGAGAATTGACGAGATTTGCTATTACGTGATCTCACCCAGCAACAGTCATGAATAATAATAATAATAATAATAATAATAATAATAATAATAATAGCCATGACGTTGCCCCAGTTATGGCTCTCATGGCTTCTACTCTTAACTGAACGTCAGCATGTACATGTTTTATTTGAGTGAATTATAATATTAATGACAATATTAATCATTTCTATATATAGGCTAATTCGTCATCCATTGACCGTGTACTCAGTGTTACCATCGGTTGAAATTTATAAAATCTTTCTCTTAAAACAAACTTTCAGGAACATAGATTTTTCAAGTATATTAGCTATTATTGATCTTTTCCTTGTATCGATGAGGGCTTCCTTCCTAACTTTTTGTTTGGTTTAGTGTGGAACGTCAACATCTTGATGATTTCATTATTTTCTCTTCGAGTTATGTGTCATAAATATTTGTTGTTGTTGTAGTTGTTAAAAATCTTCAAGTGCTGCGGTTTCTATTATTCCGTACAGTTATTTATTTGTGATTCTATAGTTCAAGTCAACGAGGTTCGAAGAATGATGACCCTCTCTAAAACCTACCGGCTTCAGTCGTTCGAATCCATTGTTAACCATTGATCTGAGAAAGCAGTTTTATACAGTTTGGCTACAATAAATAACCCGTTCAGACCCACCGGTTTACTTGTCTGTTGTCTGGCCTTAACCGGCTGAGCGTGTCCTCTAGGTTCATAAGCGAGGATAATACGGAAGAATCATAGCCAGGGTCGAGAGGGTTGGGTTCTTTTTTAAGTTTGAAACTGTTAAATCGATTAAGGAGTTCCATGTAGATAATTGTGGACAACCTCAATCGTAGACCGTCTGAGCGGACTGGGTTATTGAACCTGAAGGTATTTCTAAGTGAACCTCCTCTATAAAGTTATACAGTGTTTTTACTAAAATATGTCAGCATATCTTGCATATTTGGCTGTGATACGTGTGCGTGGTATACACTTATTAGACTGGTTGTCATGATTAGTGTATTGGTTTTCGTATATTTGTATTCCAACGTGGATTTTTTTGGCATGCTGCTCTTTCTCAATAATAATAATAATAATAATAATAATAATTCTACATGTCCCTTCGTTCCTTAGTGCCAATACCTTTTAAATAATGTAAATTCAATTTTGATCGCTAGGAAAGACGGAAAAAACATTAGTTTGATTTCAGTGAGAAAAAGAAAGAAAGAAAAGATAGAAGAGGTGAAAACGTTCTCATGTGTGTCTAACGTCTGCTTCAATGAAATGAAAAAAAATTCAGTTCCGAATGTTTTTATTTGTACCCTCTTACTTCTTCAAAGAATGACCTGCATTCATTCTTATAATTGTTATGGCTAATTTTTTTTTTAAAAGTTGTTAAGCTAAAATAGTTAACGATGCAATAGCAGCATTTCCATAGGTATTTTATAGACGTGATACTCACAAGTAGCTTATGAATTAATTTATTCACACTGCTGAAAACGTCATTGTTATCATCAAAACGGCTTAGTAGATATGTAAGCATGAAGTGTACGTAGTTTATTCTAACGACCGTTCGTTTAGACCCTTGGTCAGATAGTGAAATGCACGGACTCTGGTTCAAGAACGAGCAGAAATAGTTTTACATGAACAACTTAGAGGTAATTAATACGGGATTATTATACGAGATAATACGAGATTAGGGCATGGGGAGTAGGATGACAATCAAATAAGTTTTGCGTAAGCGTCTTGTGTTGGCTTAGTCGATTTCACATGTCATCTCCCATTTCGATGATGAAATAAGTTTTTTTTATTATTATATTATATATATTTTTATTATATTATATTATATTATATTAGTTCGATGATAGGTAAATATTGGTAGCTTATATTTGACTTTATACACATTTACTGGTTTCAGAGAGAGCTGAATATTGATAGTTTATATTTGAGTCTGTTAGCATTTTCCTTGGTTTTACAGTCGGCATGTTCTCCGATACGCCGACATGGTAGAGGGGCTTCTTTTTGAAATTCATAAAACGTTTCTGAATACTACAGGCTTGCGTTTGTTTGTTTTTTGTTTTTTTTTAGCGGCATATCAACACCTTATGGGTCATTTAATGCCGAAATTTAATTTTCTTGAGAGCATTAGTTATCTCATTTACAAAAATGTATTGCTGGTATTTTTCCCCAAAATGTATTGCTGTTAAGTTTACTATGAAAATGTATTTTTATACTTTCCTAGGGTTTTGACCCCAGTTTGGGGGTTAACTATTTGCTCATAGTTGAGTCCCTAACAGGTGCTACAACTCTGGGTTAGGTTTGACTTGGGAACAACAGTAATTAAGATGTCGTTCTACGCTCCTCAAAACCTCGCGATCAGTGGCTTTGTTGAAGGATGAAGTTTATTGTCATATCAGAATGTGGCGAAAGGGTAACATGATTAAAATACGATAAAAATCAAATGAGAAAACCAGTTCGAATAAATCAGTGTATAATTCCTAAACTCAGAAATTCTATGGTAATTTTTCGTGTCATTTAGTATATTTTTGTCAATAGTTTTCTTCTAAATGAAAGGAAAAAAAAGGAAGCGATATCTGATCTTTAATGTGACTAGGCGGTAGAAATTTGAATTGACAATAGCAGACGATAATATATAATGACAGGAAAAAATAAATAAAATAAAACAAAAAATGGAAAAACAAGATTAAGATAAATAAATGGAAAACGGAAGATGACGAGATTTAGGGTATTAAGAAAACGAAAATTATCAACAAATAATGGAAGAAATAATGGAAGCAAGTAAAAAATATATTACTAAAAGTTAAAAAGAACCTGAAAGAGAACCATCGTTTTAAATCCTAATATGAAACACTGAAAGCTGCTTCAAACACGTGTATGTAGTTTACAAAGGTGAAATGATGGATTTGAACTGTTGCCAAAGCGGTGTGAATTTTCAAGAACAAGACTAAACGAAAAATGAGTGTTTACAAATGGGGGATGCGGGAATGTATCATCTAAATATGTATATGTTAATACATTCAGATTTGTTTAATTCATTTTAAAACGATTTACGCCATGAAATTCTGTTCTTTTCTCTTCCTTCTCATTAAGTCGTATTTCTTTTTTCTTTTTCTTGTTCGATCTTCTTTCTCACTTTCATTTTTACTTATTTCTCTCCACCTAGAATTTTATTTCTCAATTTTATTTCCATTTTCTTTCCTCCTCCTCAACAAAATTTTCTTTCTTTTTCCTTTTCACTTTCTCTCCCCGTCAATAAATTTCTTTTTCTTTATTACTTTCATTTTCACAACCTCCAGTAACATTTTGTTTTGTTTTTCTCACTTTCATTTTCACTTACTTTTCCCATACACTCACTAAAACTTTCTTTTTCATTTTTTTCTCCGCCTCACTAAAATTTTCTCTTTATTTCTCCAGCACTAAAAATTTTTCTTTCCTACTTTATCCCCTCTCACTATAATGTTCTTTCTTTCTTTCTTTCTTTCTTTCTTTCTTTCTTCCTTTCTTTCTTTCTTTCTTTCTTTCTTTCCCCCTCACTAAAATGGTATTTCTTTGTTATTTTCACTTACTTTTTCTTTCTTTCTGTTTGTCTGTCAGTCTTATGCTGTTTCCCTTCCTTCTTTTACACCCCCCCGCCTGTCCCGATGGGTGTTGCAAAACGTCCTATTTGTTAAAAACCCGAATGACAGTGAATAGTGTGAGGTAACAAAAATATTAAAAACATATCGATCTCATCGCGAATGTTTGTATTGCTTTAATATCTATGCCCGTGCTCGAGTACGTAATTAGAAGCAAAGGGAAGAAAACTGGACTGCTAGGTTAAGATCTGATCACCTATATGACAACAAATTTTGAACAATTCCGTCAGAGATGAAAAACATACTTAAAGCGACATAGACGTAGTTCTACCGACGAATACTAAGAATACCATAAACAGAACATGTGAGTAACAAGGAAGCCTTAATTAAGTGCAAATAAAGTACTGACACATTACAAAGAGAGCAATCGAGTACATATCAGGAAGAAATGAGGCTTGGAGAGTTTAAAACTCACATGACATATGGAAGACAAAAGAAGGAAGGGGAAAAAAGCATAAGCTATTAGAGGGGGGTTGTAGATGACGGAATAAAGAATAAAAAGTTGCAGTAAAGGAGCATTCACTTACGTGCTAATAACTTTAGGAAAGGTATGAATCCTCTTCTCCCCCCCTAGTAAATAGAAGAACAAATCGGGTTCTATAGCCTTGGATGGCAACTGGTCTACCGCAGAAAGAAATGGCAACCTACTACGCGAAAAAATCTGCCTCGTCAGTCATGTATTGAAAGATACATGATCGCCTAAGCGTGTATCACACATGGCACATAACTAACTGGGTAAAGGAGCAAGGATTACTCAGATAGGAAGTTATGGAGAGCCTAAACCGCCCAGATCCTGAAATGATGTGGCATATAAAAGGGATAATTCTATTTCAGACATGTCCGGTGATCAACGCTGGAACCAATGTGGAATGAGAGGATTTTTTTATGTTTTGACATTTGATATTTCAGATATCATATTTGGTGGCATACACACAAGGATGTCCCAGACATGGTAGTAGAGGAAATCTATATAAAAGGAACTATAAGACATTATGTATATTCCGTAGCAAGAGGTACGGTAAGATGCGAGCTATGATTTAGGGATATCAAAATCAAGCAAGTACAGAATTTTTCTCATCTTTCATCTTGTGCTATACCGTGCCCCCTTTCAGGGCGTAGACTAATTATGGCTCTTCACGACTTCCTGTTCTCTCTAAGTCTTAATAAATTTTTTCTTACCTCTCCTAAACCTTACTCCGACATCCATTTATTCAAGCTTTCAAGGTAGATTCTGTGTTGTTTGCCTCTTTTTTCTCTTGCCTTCAATCTGTCCTGTGAGTCTCAAATTTTTCAAACCCTCTTTTCTCAATATGTGTCCTAGACATTTCAACTATCTCTTCCTGATGTTATGTAATAAGTGTCCTTTTTCTTTTCATTGTCTCTATAACTTCGTCGTTCGGACGTTGGGAATACCATGCTGGGTCCATGGTATTCCCAGCATCCTTCTGTTGAAGCTGACGGAAGATGTAGCACAAAGATCCATCTACCGATATGACAGAGAATACTGGATAATTTACTCACAGGTAAAGAGGAGATTTGAGGCAACAAAGATGTAGTTCTATCGAAGGATGCTGAGCATATCATGAATATAACATGTACACAACGCGGAAAGAAAATGGAAAGAAAAATTCCACTTTTACTTAGAATCAGAAAGCTGAAGTTTCTTGGACACACAGTGAAGAAAGAGAGCTTGGAGAATTTGACACTCACAAGGACATATGGAAAGCAAGAAGGGCAGAGGGAAACATCGAGTAGCCTACCTAACGAGGTTGTGTAAATGGATAGCAGAACGAACAAAAATTACCTCGAGCTACAACAGATAGGAAGTTGCGGAGAGCCATGATCACTAACGTCCTGAAAGTTGATAAGCACATAACGAAGATTCCACACATTTACATTTTTAAAATTACTTTATGGTAGATTAATTTGAGATGGGCAGAGGAAAGTGTAAATGTAATTACGAGCTTGTGTAAACAGTTGGCAGAACGGGGATTAGGAGAGATAGCAAAAAAGATAAATTTTACTAAAGGTAACTAAGGACATGACGTTGTGGAGAACCATGATCCTACACAATCTAAAAGGACACGTCACATAGTAGAAGTATGATAGAGTTAGTCTAGTTACAACTGGTAGTCTGCGATGTATCGGTAAATCATAGCTAGACAGATTTTTCGAAATCGCATATAAAACCCGGGAGATATTTTTTAGACACTTTTTAAGCAAATGTTTTTATGCTATCAAATACGATAGTTATTGTTTAGACGATTGGCACATTCGCAGACTTTTTGCGTCCTATTTTTCGAAGCCAACCATAACTCTCATTTTCTGTTTTCGTGTTTATCTTTCATGTAATTTTATTTTTCGCGGGTTTCATAGCAACATTTAGGACGTGCTTGCGTTCAATGCATGGGCGTAGTATAGATCGGAAAATAAAGAAAACAAATCCTCCTTAAGAAAGTTGAATTCATATCCCAAATCTTCGGTAAGATATTTATAGAACAAATGAGTAAAAAATCAGTACTCACACGCGAGAACGCATATACACATTTACACAGAAGTTAGAAAATTAATTAACATCAGGAAAAAAAACAAGTGAAATTTTTCGAGCATATAATGAGGAACGAAGGAGTGAAAAATTTGATACAAGATTGAAACGAAGAGCGACATGGGAATTCAATATATAATCTAGAAATCTTGAGTAAATGGATGGCAGAACAAAGTTAAGGGCAGATAGCAAATAGACTAGATTTATTAAGAGCTAAAAAAAAACGGACAAGAAATTGTGGAGAGCCATGGCCGTCAACGTTCTGAAGGGACACGGTACATAGAAGATGCGCAAACCTAATACAAACATTTACTGGCACTGTTCGTGAGCTGCAGCATTTGCAAGCCAACTGATTTATTTAAAGAAAAAATACTTCCATAAGAACGGTACAACAGAACGGTATAAGAATTTCTATCAGGAGGAGATTCGCTGTATCTACTGCATATGTATGTATGGGTGTGTATATATTAGTAGATAATGGAATAACAAAATGAAAACTATGGATCCACTTGTTCTCCCCAGCTATGGGTTAATTAGTACAACTTGTTTCAATCAATCATTATTTCCCCCATTTCTTATATATAAGAGGAAGAATTATAACAAACCCTTGTTACAAATCTACAGTGAAAACGTAACACGATGTGGTGGGGGGATTTAAATTTAGTTTAGCGTCCTTATATCATTAACGTTTTCGGAATAAAAATGTAGGCCATTTTTTTTACGCATTAATTTCTCATCCCTTATATATGCACGTAATTACACACGTGTGTGTGTCTGTGTGTGTTTGTGTGTGTGCTTATGAATATAAAATAGTGTACACTGAGAGCTAATATTAATAATTTAGTGGTTGATATATAATAAGAATGCTAAAAATAATGAGTTTCATGAAACTAAGAGTTGTACTAACCGTTAGGAAAATATATATAAGTCTGACTTCATCGATAAAACCACTATAAATTTGAAGAAGTTGTTTAAGAAGAGTTTTCCATTTTGATATTCGATTACACATTATTATTCATCTATATATATATATATATATATATATATATATATATATATATATATATATATATATATATATATATGTGTGTGTGTGTGTGTGTGTGTGTGAAAAAAAATAAACATAGCACCAATGAAAAGTGCAAACGAGAAATATAAAAATTCACTTGCTGATACCTCCTGACGAGTGGGCGGACTGATTTCTGTAGGGTCCGTCTAAGAAACTTCGGAGTCGAGATGCTAAAAATAACATCAATCAGCTAAGTGGCAAATTTGTATTAATTATATATCATATGGGAAACGCACACGCGCGCGCGCGCACACACACACACACACACATATATATAAATATATAGATTTGTAGTTCATCATTGAATTTGTAGAGCATCATTGAATGTGATTTATTGCAAAATGGATAGCAAAGAAGGATCGTTGGGAAGGAATAAAAACTTCGAGCGTCCGAGGTAACGTTCTTGCAACGTTGCAGATAGTGGAGAACATGTGTCATTGTCGTGAGGTTATTGTTGCAAACTATTTTTCTGTCCCCAAAATGACTGCTCATTCCCAACGTTGTCATAATGTTATGGTAACGTTGCGAAGTACAGTAGCTGGAAATTTCCGCACTGATCAATTATGAGATCAAATATATTTTTCTGTATAGGAAGTATAACATTTATTTTCTAAATTTTTAAATTGTGAATAAAAAAATTTAGATGATGAATGCACTTTTTAATATCTCCCGCGAATATTTTCTCCAGTTTCTGTTAATGTAATGTTACAATGTAACTTTGCGGACAGGTTGGAGAGTGCGTACAAAAGACATTTTTACAACCTTTATTGTAAAGTTGCAGAAACATCGTAGTAATGTCATTTTGTTAGCTCGGGAGTATTGTCAAAACAAAAACTGTATAAAATTAAGCAAATCGATGGTAGAAACATTGATGGTTATAGAATGTCCAGGAGCCGATATCAATACGTAAAATAATGAACTAATATGTTAGTCCGATATAAGGGATATTGTGCTAATCAAATATATGTTTTTGAAGTCTATGACTTTTATGAAGAAAAATTTTGCGGTTTATGTCTTTTATAAAGAAAAATTATTTTACACCTTGTAAAATAGAAGGTAGTAACCGAAAACAAGTTATCAATATTTCTAACAAACCGATTTCTAAATGAGGTGATTCTCAACGTAGACATCGTCCTTATGGATCTGGGCTACATTCAGATCCTTATAGAAATTAAAGTACATGAGGCACAAACAAGATGTTTATATTTCTGTAATCTACTGTAACTATGATCATCAAGTCTCAGATCTGTACTTGTAATATCATTGGAAATGGCAGAAATTCGTTGAAAGCCCACAAAGCAAAACGCAAAATATGTTATTAAATTTCAGGTGGCTCTGGATTTAAAATTATTAAAAAGCTAAAAGTGTTGCGGATTCTAAGTCTAGACATGATGAATAATGATGAAAATTATATAAATCCACAAATTACTAATCAGTTTATATATATATATATATATATATATATATATATATATATATATATATATATATATGTGTGTGTGTGTGTGTGTGTGTGTGTGTGTGTGTGTGTGTGTGTGTGTGTGTCAGAGACATGCCATGCCATTTAGGCAGACAAGGTAGGCAATGACTACCCTGAAGAAAATAAATCAGCAGCTACATTTTCCTTCTGTGGCACAATATGCATCTAATGCAACAAATTTGTGAAGGCCACTCTGATTATTATGCATAAAATGGAAAATATTATATTTTTTTGCAGATTTACTAAATAAAGTCACAATCTGCCTACCCGAGTAATTACTGGCGACACGTGATATATATATATATATATATATATATATATATATATATATATATATATATATATATATATATAGGTAAATCACACGACGTTTTGCATTCAGAAAGCTTAATCAAAATCCGTTGGATTATATCAATTTTATTGGAAAAACATTAACTTGCATAGTTAAATCTGACACACACATAAACATACACGCACAAAACACACACACACACACACACACACACACACACACACACACACACACACATATATATATATATATATATATATATATATGGTTGAGTCATAATTGATTTCTATTATTGTTTATCAACAATTCATTTTAGAAAAGTTTTCCGGCTTTCCCTTGTCTATTCTAATTTTCAGCATATGGCCGATAGTGTTGTGTTTAACATATTTGCTAATTCCCGTGCACATTACCATCGGTTGCTTTCAACTAATGAATTTAGAGCTTCATCATGATAGTACGATGTAGCCCCACCCCCTGTTTAGATTCATCTTCAAAACGACATATCTCCACAACGAAACTTTACGAAACCAATTTCGGAAACACTACTTATTTTCTAAATATTTCCATTGCAAGAAATGTAACCTTGTCGAAACGCGCATCAAGGCTAAATATTTGTTAAATCATTATAATTATTTAGCAAACATTTGGTCCTTATGAGCATGCCGAAGCACAATTCATGTAACCAGATATTGGCTGAATGATATATTTTTTACGGCTTATCAACCTGCTTCAGGTTATTTAAAGACACATTGTAAGAATTTTGGGGGAGATAATAATGACTTACTGATACAAGGTGAATTCAGGTGGATTCATACCTTCTCGAAGAGTTATTGCGCGTAAGTGAATTATAACGGAATCGGCTGGAAATGGAACTTGGCTCTGCGATTTACAATTCCGAGACGTTACTCATTACCGCACATCCAATCGGTCCCTCACTGACCAGACTCGACGTTGCTTAACTTCGGCGATCGTATGAGAACCAGTGTTATATTTATTTATTTTCTTCTACAGGCACGAATATTCGAGAGCGTGCCTTTTTCTTTCATGAGATTCCTCGAATATTCAGGCCGGTAACAATAAATCAATTTAATAAATAACGTTTAAAATGATTATGTGTGTGTGTGTTTGTTTGTTTGTGTTTTGTGTGTGTGTGTGTGTGTGTGTGTGTGTGTGTGTGTGTGTGTGTGTGTGTGTGCGCGCGCGTGTGTGTGTGTATGTGATCGAGTGGATAGAACGTTAGCTTTCTGACCATGAGACTGATTTGTCAGGAAGGAGACTTCCTTGTGTTATCGGTCTGAAAGGGAACGATCCCAGTGTCCGGAACCTTGAGAAAGTGCCTGAAAACCATACGACGGGTTGACCCAAACCTTATGAGTGAAATTGGGTAGACGGAACACTTGAACTGTCAATAGCTGTGCTAGCACGAAGTTACAAGTCACTGTGCTGGCTTTTTTTTTCAGATTGTTGATCACGCTAGATAACGCTCTCTCTCTCTCTCTCTCTCTCTCTCTCCCAGAAACTGTAACTAAAGTC